AGCCCTACCTGTTCTGAGGCACAGAACAGTATTTTGTCTTCATTACATTACATTCAGAAGAAGGGACTCACAATCAAGATCAGAGGGTTTTCTACTCCAAGTTTCTTATTTTAACAGAACAAATAGAATAAAATTTGTTCCTTTAACTCAAGCTCAAGTACTACCAAGAAAACCAGTTGCAGCAACGTAACTCCTTTCCTGTTTCCTAAACCCTTTTAGCAAGTCAGGGCACAGCCATTCCCATAGACTCCAAGGCAATTAGTCCCTGAAGCAACTAGAGGTGAGATCTACCAGCATTCTCTTTTACCAAGCTGGTAAGTAGCTGGATCTGAGAGAGAGCCCATCCCAAAGCCAAAGCTAAATGATCTGCATCAGAAGCCACTACACTTACTGAACAGCAATGTTTGAGATCATCCATTCTCTAAGTTCTCTATATCACAGTGGTTGCTACTTTCCCTTAACATTGAGACAATTTTGTTTAATACTTAATATTCTTTTTAACATATATACACAGAGAGACCAGCAAACAAAGCTCTACATCTCTGCTGGAAATTCACCTAAAATCATTAATCAGACACCTTGTTTCAAATGCTACATTCAGAGCGGACTGTTTACCAGTAAACAGATTTGGAATATGCAAATGCTACAAAGAAACTATCCCAACCCCAGCACTTCTGCAATGCCATCAAGCACTTACGATCCCAGAGTGAAATATTTTAAAAACAAACACCTCTGAGATGTCAGGACACTTCACAGTATATGAGAACCTGCAAATAGGCTAGAAAAAGACGTCTCAATTATCTCACACTGGACAGAAAAAAAGAGCAAAACGTCCAGAGATAGCAAATTGTCTCTGTTTTAATTTTTTTCATTTTATTAATAATTTCATTCACTGTCAAAACCAAGTATTAGTTTAAGTTAGTGCCATACCAAAGACATGTAATCTTATACACTCTTGTTCCCCACCACAAACACCTCCCTTCGCTCCCTGTAACAGCAGAGCATTTGTTCTGGAAGTCCAGAATGAGGTTGTCCAAGCCACACGTGGCTGTATAGCATACTGCCTCATACCCACACTGCACCTCAGAAAGAATGGCTTTCCATGGCTGCTCTATCTATAGAGACTGGGATTAAAGAGTGTGGTACACCTCTAAGAAGCCAGGGTAAAAACATATAAGCTGCAAGCCAGTTTACAGAGAAGCTTTTGAAGGGCCTCATAAGTATGATGCAGAAGGGATAAACCAAAATAGTGTTGTGAAGACACTTTCCAAAGTAATAAGCAAAGGTGTTTACAAACTCTCTTTAAGGTTTCTACAGACAGACCTAAAGAAACATATCATCTCACTAAGCTCTTGTACTAACAGTAGTTATTCCTAGTCCTAGGGACTTCATTCAAAGCCAACATTACCTTCATCAAAGCTTTGAAACTCAGTTTTAAATTAACTGCTCCTCTGACCACCCACAAGGAACATCAGCACACCAGGTAAATCTACTGCCTTTCCACATTGCTACCAGCCCATTACCACCTCTGTGCCAGGACAGACCTCACACATTAGACTTCCTCAGGGATGGAAGATCTAGTCCTGAAAATCTCCCTTTCACAGACAGGTCTGTTGGCTCTGACAGCCTTGTTTGGCTGGGCCTCCCATACAGATCCTGTCTCAGGTGGCTGAAAGCAACACCAGACTGATCCGGAGACACTCCCTCCCCTCAGCACCTGCTGGCATGTGAACAGAAGCAGCTGAGACTCCAGGGGCAATAGTGAGGGGGTACAAGAGTCTTAGAGCCTTAGGCAGGCTTTTTTTCCTACGTGCAAAAATTACGTTTCTCCAGTCAATACCCCTGCTCCATTTGTCTTGCGTTCTGCAAGAGCATCTATGCATCTGACCCCAGTGGGCTTGTCCAGCATCCTATCAAATGAGTACCTTCCCCTTCCACCTCCCTGCTCCACCCAGCCACAACATCAGGAACAGCAGGTTTGATTATATTAAGCCTCAGTGTGATTAACTGTGTGTGAAAGGTATTCATGTTCACCAAATATATAGAGTGTCTTCTTCCCTCCCTTCTGGGAAATAAAATTTTGCAGTCGTAAGGACTCTGGTTTCTCCTCTCCCCTGTACTCTTTTAACTGAAAGGAAAAAAAAATGGTGGGAAATAAAAAATAGTTTAAAGAGTACAAACAGCACTGAAAAGACTAATAGAGAACAGATATCCAGGCAGAGGGATCGGGAATGAGCCCAGAATACAAAGTCAACTCTTACCTTCTGCATGTCCCTGTGAAAGGTGAGTGCAAAAACTGGAGATATGTGCACCACTCTGCAACCAAGCTCCAAACCCCACTTTCCTATAGTTCTTGTTCCAACAGTGGCACTTCAGTACTCTTCCCTCCAGCTTCTGTTCGGTTACTAATCCTTACTGCACAGGAAAAGGAGAGTTGTATTTCATTTAACCCGTTCAGCCTCTCAGTTTCTTCGCAAGAGTTTTCACTTTAGCTTTGGAAGGCCAGAGTCGTAAGCATGCACGCAGGCACGCCTGCTTTGGAATTGTTTCTAGCTTCTGTAGTCTGTGTGTGAGCACGCATATGATCTCTAAACTGTGCCTAAAGTTGTTCCAGGGGTGGAGCCCTTTGTAACTAGTTTCATTTTAGCTGTAGGCAGCATATCAAAAGAGAGACAGCTATCCACGGATCCATTTGGTATTCTTCTTCAGTAAGTTCCTAACTCTGAAAAAAAAAAATCTAATTTCATATTTACTTTAAAACTACAGCCCGAACCACGGTTCACAGATATGCTTTCGACAAAAGAAAGTTTGAACTTCAATACAATTCACAGCTAGATTTGTGTCTAGGCAAAGTTAAGCAGATTCCTAAGGTCTGAAAATAGCAGCACTTTAGATATGTATCTGAATTTAAACAAAGCAGCACAGGTTTCTCTATTTTTTCCTCTGACAAATGCCATGCAATTCAGAAACCCTCTGAAAACTCCTGTGAAGGAACAATTTAAGAAGATAAAACCTGCTAAATGAAAAGGAATCTAGTTGGATGCATTACAAGACAAAACTTTTGTTATTAACCATGAGGGTACTGGAGAAATCATTGCATAACAACTTACGCGTTGCTGTTGTTTTATTTTGCAAAGAGACAATTCTGTCCTCCCCCTCCCCTGCCTTGATTTTGTCCTCTGCTTAGTACTAACCAAATAAATAATGGAATACAGAGACCACAGATCTAGAAAAATAGATTCTGGTCCAGCAATTACAACAGCTACCAGCATTTCAACTCTATTTAATATTTTGACTGAGGTTTCCAAGATTATGAGAATAGCTTTAAAGTCTTAAGTTTGGATTGGTTCTTCCATGTTTGCCTTCCAGTTTTAGAGTCCTTTTTCATCAGTAGTTCATTTGTAACCATGAGAAACAGAACCTTGCTCTCAAAAGGAAAGATGAAGTCTTCTACCTTCAGGTAACTCCACACGTTGGATGGTCCCAGGAAGATATTAATGTGCAATGAAATTTCCAGAACTGCTATCACTAATGTCTTTTTGGCCACCCTGCCGCTTTAGATAATAAAAAGAGACAACATCCTTGGCAACTGCTGACAAGCCTAGATGCACACAGCTCCAAATGGAAAAGAAAGTTTCCAACAGACTTATAAATATATCAGGTGACACAGAAGCAATTTTATTCCAGGGCTACAGCTCTTTTTCAACCCTGCTGTTCAGTCCCTGTCTGGAAGCTAGCTGCAAAAGGTACAAATCCTGCTGTTACACATCCCACAGGGGACAAAGTTCAAATAAGAGTCACATCTTTTCCACAAGCAAAAGCAATCCTGTACTTCCCTGTCAAAGCTAAATCTGCCACAATAAACAAGGATAAGCCCTAACAGGAAATCCAACACAAAACATCAACACCCCCACACAGCAGCAGGGGAATTCCAAAAGATTGAAAGACACAGTGCACCCCAGAAGAACATCTAATGGTGGTGCAGATGCATGGCTACTTACGTAACCCGCGTCAGGAGAGACAACAATTGGACATTGTAAATGCCTCAATTAAGAATACAGAAATTATTGCCCTGCCCCTTTAGGTTCAAATGTTCTTTTAAGAAAAATAAATCTGGGCCTTGGGCCAAGATGTGGCCCCTCCTTTTCCATCAGAAAGAAATTACATCAGCATGTATTTTTTCTTTATCCACCTGTACTCTCAACTGGCCATTGGTTAATGTCATCCTGCCAGCTGTCACTTTTATCCTAAGTTTCATAATATTTGATCAAAACAAAACCTGAACTCCTGGCCTTCTCCAAATAAACCAAACTTTCAGATCAGTTTAAAGCTTTTAGCCAGTACCACTGGCAAGAAAATGCTTGAAATCATCCCAAAGGTTCAAAATCTAGAAGACAAAAAAACCCACAACTTCAGATGAGGTTATAAATGTGCAAATACTGTCTCTTATGGCAGCAGGACCCTCAACGAATGATTTTTTGAAATATAAAATTTAGTCATGTTCTTGTAGTTCTTGTATTCTTGTTGATAGTTTAAACTACAAGAGAATTCAGAGACAGGGAAAATATAACTGCCCATGTTGGAATCTAGACAGCATACATTCAAAAAACAGCTTTGCCTACTGCATTGAAGAAGTTATTGTGTAAACACATCTGGAGTAATTTTTAACCCCATAGAAACTTAATAGATAAGCTCCTCAGATGCTGAAATTAAAAAAAAAAAGAAGTGACCAGACTTTTACCACAACTAAGCAACATGAAACATTGATTAAACTCCTTTTATTAAAAAGAGAAAAGAAAAATCTGCTCGTACTTCCTGGTTGCAGCAGAGATGTGACAAAATCAGAACCTGTTAATATAGGATTTGAGCTTGAGGTCAGTCCTTACCAGGAAAAAGACAAGGCAAATACAAAGTTAACCTCTGCCCTGTGGTTCCACAGAAAGTACGGTGCATGTACCTTTTCTCTGGGAGAAAGGACATGATCCCTGTGTTGAAATTGTTTTCAACACCTCCATTTAGTGAAAGCAAGATAATGCACCGATTCAAGACCATTCCATCTCTTGATCAGACACTGATGGGTCACTATGGAGTCAATACAGTCAGGACCAGAGGAATTTGCCTCTTCCCACTAGTTCTAATCAGTGGTTAGCCTGGAAGCAATGGCATCTGGGTGTCACAGATGTGACCAAGAAGGAACAGTTCAGTGAATGCATACTGAATTGATACGGAACACGATATCCCTTCGAACCGCACCAGTGAAGCGCTTTTGGCAAGAAGCAACCCCTACAGGAGCTGTGGCACCGGGATTTCAGCAGTTACATGGCCAGAGGTCAGTAATAAGGCTTCTGCTTTCTCTTTTGCTATACTCCAGAAATACTTCTTGTGGGAACAAACCACCAGGATTCCTCACTGCCAGAGGCTGTTTCCAAAGACTGTCTAAAGATTTGCATGCTTTACTGGACGCAGCTCCAGTCTAACTAGTTATGGCTGTCTAACACTTACAGCATTGTAGAGAGTTATCTCTTAGCTGAGATGTCAGATGCCCACCAAGATGCTCTATCACCCCTCATCCTCAACACAACAGAGGAAGAAAAATGGATGGAAAAACTTGTCAAACATGATAAAGACAGGAAGATTACTTACCGGTTACTGTCATGGGCAAAACAGACTTGACTGCAGGGACATTAATTACTGAGAAATAAAAAAACCAAACCACCCCTTCTTCTGTCCAGGGAGGAACTTAACTCCTAGCTTTCCTACCTCCTCTCCTCTCTCCCTAGGCAGCAACCAAGAAATTCAGACGAGACTCTCAAAGCCTCCAGAAGAAAAGCTGGTCTCTGTAGTTTGAGTATTCACCCAGGGAAGAGAAGAATCTCTGATCAGTTTGGTTTCAAAACCTGGACCTCCAAGGAGACTTCTGTGACCAGGAAACAATGGCACAGAGTCACATTACAAACTGCTGTTCTTGATGGCTCGCTTCATCATTTAGCCAAAGAACAAGGATCTGGGCTGTTGTAAATATGGTTGGGCCACATGCTTAAAAATGGGATGTTTGCCTTGCTTTGTTTTCAGGATAATATCCAGTTTTTTAGAAAAGTGTAGTGGCCTAATCAAGGGAAAGGTAAAGCCATTTACATACTTTAGCCTACTACCTGAGGCATTTTATTCAGGGAATACGCTCAAATATTTCTGAGCATAGGATAATACTGAACAGTAATCTGACATCCCAGGTAAGTGTGTTGATGGCTAAACGAGTAGGTAAAGAAATGTGTCTCGGGGATGTCAAACCAAGTCCACAGCTACTGGGGACATTTCAGCATGTCACTCATTCCATCCAGCTGCACAAGGGGAAAATAACAGGCTTCAGCTTACTCTGCAAAGAATTAATCTTTTAACATACTGATGTTTTTCTTACTATTTTTTTAAAAATGACAGTGAAGTAAAATTTGATTCAACCTGAACTGAACTTTTTTCAAACTTGAGTAGTGCACCAATAACTCCATTCTTCCCACACTCTGACTCACTATCGCAGGACAGACATGGTTTAGCCCTCGGAACCACAGCCTCTCAGTATATAGAATGTATCCCTGTCAACCCTTCAGGAAAAGCAGCTCAATTTCATGTCCAGATGTTACAAAGTCCTTAGAGGAAAGGTAGAAAGTGTATTACAGACTGATGAGCTCTGCTGTACAACTTAACAGCATCAAAGCCTGTTATCCTCTTGCAGTGACTCTTGCACTGGTGCATATCTGCTCCAGAGACCTGTCCACCTATGAACTCCTTCAGATGCTGAGGACTGTTGCAGAGGAGCTGACCCTGTATAACTTTTGTACAGATACTGCTACTAGCAGAGGTGATTTTATTGTGGTTTGCCAGCATGCAGCCACTGAAGTCGGCAATGCAAGACAGCAAAGAGACATCAGCTTCATTCCTTCGCAGTCTCCCTTCTTGGACACTTCCATATCATGCAGCCCAGAACAGTGGACACCAATGCAATCATCAGTATTTTGCTATAATCTGCTCCAGGAATGGACCAACTCACAAGCACTTGGTCTGGCAGGGTCCTCTTCTCTTAGTCTCTTCTTGATGATTGAGCCAGTTCCTGTGCTGTGCTCCCCAAGAGAGCCTTCAAATAAATTTACTCTTTCTATTCAATAGATACCTCTCTTCATCCGTTTCAAAGATGAGGGAAATAGCAAGCCTGTCACTTCATTTTTTTTTTTTGATTCTCACCCAAATCAGGTAGGACTTTTATTCAGGCCAACTTTCTAAACAACCTGGTAATGCTACACCAAGTTTCAGCTCCTCATCCTTACACCATTTAAAGAAGAAACGCAGCACATATTGACAACACTGGTGTTCAAAAAGCAGAAACAACTTCAAAGTGCTGTGACCAATTCCATGCAAACTCTGTTGCAAAAGGCAGTCCAATACACTGCACTGTAGGATACAAAGTGAAGGCACTATTCCATTGCTAAGACTATACTTGGATACACAAAGATTTGGGTATAAAAAGCCTACACGTAATGGAGTGTACATCATTTTTAAACCAACCCAACTACTCCTGAGTTTAACCCAATTAATCAAAACAAAGACACAACTGAGTCAGTTGGAAGGGAAGGGGCATTACATAAACTTTTTCTAGCATTGGATAGCACATCCAGTTTTTCCAGTGTCCCATCCCAAATCTCAGGTTATTTATAAAAGATCATTCTTAGAGCTTTCCTTAATACCAGACACTTTGAATCCTGTTAACTCTTAAGAAACTGATCATAAGGACACTACAATCCCATTTTCTTTTTCTGTATCACGGCTTTAAATATTGCGTAGGGCAACTTGGCAGCCACACAGAGAATCTCATTTAGAGAGATTAACCTCTGAACACAGAGAGATCTAGAGGGTCTCCATTAGTCCATTCCTTAATGCACAGGATTTAAACAGGAATAATTATATTCAGAAAGCATACACACACACACACACACAAAAATAACATATATATTCATTAAATGAGGCAATGCCTTATCCAGAACAGACGCTCCCCTCAGCTGTTTGTTTTCCTTTTATTGTTAGTTTTACATTTTAATGATATATAAAAAGTAGAAGAAATCACAGGTGGTAAGCAGATTTGAGCTAGAGAACTGATTTCAAGAGAAAACATTTTTAGTTCTTATACAAACAAATATAGTGATTAATCTTGATTTCTCATGCTCCCCAAGCTGTCACTGGTGAGCAAGGAGCAAAGGGTCAAGGCTGGCCATTTGTATTCAGACTACATTTTAAAACATAAAGGACACTCTAATCTCCCAAATGTTTTCCAAATATTCCAATCTGCTCCACCCAAAATAGCAAAAAGTAAAAGTCTAGGTCACACAAATTCAACAAAACATGTTATCACATGAAACAAAAACAGAAAAACCTGTTCCCCATGGCTGTTCCAGTGCTTTGTTTGCCATACAAACATCAGCTCTTTGCTCAGGTCTTGCCCAGAGCTCAGTCAAATCAATGAGAAGATTTTTATTTCCAAAGGCTTTGGACCAGGCATAGACTAATGTGGCAGAGGGGGGGCAGACAAGAAGCAATAACCAGCTAATTCTAGGCCTGATCTCAGTAATTTTATTAACACTGATGAGACTAAAGTTATTGCCACCAGGGCTGGACTGAGTCCTAAGAGAAGGTCTTGCTGAACTGTTCTGTCCTGCCTGAACCTCTATGGGAAACCAAAGCAGCTAGGTTCTCCTTTCCTCTGAGCTGACTCCCTGCTCTCAGTGTGGATAGTCTCCTTCACCCCCACACAGTGCACCTGGGCTCCTGGTGCCACACACACCCTGAGGCCCTCAGGGATAGAAACAGCTTTCTCTTCTTCTCCTAAACATCAGCCCTTGCTGTGCATGGCAAGCTTGCCAAGTAGAGATAACAATATAGCAAAGCTTTGGAGGGAAGAAGGAAGCTGGCTACATCACAGCCAACATGAAGAAAAATCCCCCTGGAACTATTCCAGCTATTCTCCGTTGAAACAGTCAGGCTTTTTCTCCCAGCACTCTTTCCACACTCCCCCCAGAGATCTCACACTATTCACTGTGGAGTCGAAAATCCACAGTGACTCTTAGCTGGGCTTGGCACTGACTGACTACCCCAAATGCTGCTTAGGAGAGACAGGAGAAGAGAAAAAAGCTGAAAGCAAGACCTCTGACAAGCAATTCTCACCCCCATGCCCCACATACATTTATCCCTAGTAATTCCCTGTCCATTTATACACATTACTTCTGCTAAAGAAAAGTAAATCCAGTGCCAAAATATAGCTCTTTGGTTAAAAAGGTGTTATATTCAGCAGTGGTTTAATCTCTAGCATACTAAACATGGAGTCATTAAGATTTAACACTATTGAAATGGAAATTGAGACAGAAACCTTTCCAGTTCTTATACTTCACTTTGGAACTGGAAGAAGACAACACTGACTGTAATAGCATTAAAAGATCCTCTGGACCAACATGCCGCTGATAGCAAGTACTTGGAAGCTTGAGGCACAACATAAGCTCTTGATGATATCTTCCAGCATCAGGCAGCAAGGAAGCTGACACTGTACTAAGGACAGCGCTACAGCCTTGCTGCACAGTAGAGAAAAGTTACCAACAAAACAGAGCAACAGGGGCTGTCAAGACGATGATCCTTCTCTCCATCTCAGCAGACTCTCGTGGCACAGCTCTCTCCCATGGCTCAAGGCAGGGACAGTTCTTTTCCCAGGCTCTGTCCCTGTGCAACCCGTACAGGGCATGAGAAGGTGCCCAGATCCTGGCAGCCGTATCTGTACGCCTATGGCTCAGATCTCCGACAAGGGATTCTGGAATGAGATTTCCCTCCAGCATAATGAGGTCTTTAGTCACTAACAAAGGAGCCTTCTGGGGCAGAATTCCAGCTGCGCCTGAGATCTTGCCTCCACAAAGAGATGATTTTTTTCCAGCACACAGGTTCAGTCTGAGGAGGAAGGGAAAGGGTTGCTTTTGCCGATCCAGGGATTTCCAGTTGCAGCGGTTGAAGGTTTCTGTTTACTCTTAGATCAGGGTAAGAAATCTCTTGCTTCTCTTTCCTGCTGCTTCACAGTTGCCGGTTGAGCTTCTGTGCTTGCCGCTCCTTTGCCTCAAAGGCAAACCTGGTGTCCTGCAGCTGGGCAATGGCCTCCTTGGCCTCCTTTAGGTCCTGAGAGATGAGCTCATACTTCTCTGTCAGCTCTCTGTTCTCTCGGCGCAGTTCCTGTACCACCTGGTTCACCTCCTCCGTCTGCTTGGTGCAGTGGATCTTCAGCTGCTCTACCTCAGAGAGCATGATCTCCATGTTCTTGACCAGTGACTCCAGTTTCTCTTTGGACATGGTGTCAGGATCAGTTCTATTCAATATGCCCAACCCAAACCCGAAAGGGACAAAGAAAGCCACCCTGTGCAACATGCACCAGGAAGTCTGGCAATCACAGTCTTGTGGTCTCTTTTTATACTCACTCTTGCTCATCCTCTTCCCTTCCCTTTCCTTCCCTTCCCCAAAGTGACTCTAATCTTCTTAACTTGGTTAATCTACTTATTTTTATTGCGCTGTAGAAACTGACTGAGGGGCTGACAACCCTGCAGTAACATATGTGCTGTGCGGCAAAAGCCAGAGCAATAATGAGACTGTGCAACCCGTCCATAGAAAAACAGCTTTCATCTGAAGAATTCTCTTGGGAACCCCTTGCAGTACCCATTAAAGTACAAAGAAACCTCTTCAAGCCAGATGCCTCCTCCAGTCTTGTGCACCCAGTCCCAAGAGCACAGCCTGACTTTCATCTTACTGAGGTAAGCAAGCTTACAGCAATACAAGTCAAGTATAGGCAAAGAGAATTAGCCTCAGTTTCTCTTCCTCTCTCCTAATCTTATGTTTTGGCAAGATGGAAGAAACAAACTAAAATTTCTGTTTCGTTTTTTTTTTTTTCCCCCAAAGCTCTATCCAACAATAAACACTGCAACAGCCTGTACCTCGTCTTCTATTGAAGGTATTCACAATGGTTATCACAATCAGTGGCAACCACAGTTACAGAGCCATGTGCTACTTGAAGGTGGCTTGTGTTCTGTTAGGAGCACGCAGGTTGGAAATTTTAAACCCTGGTACCCCTTCTCTCACTTCAGCTCCATCAGTAACGTTGGCTCCAGGATTCACAAAAAAATTTATTTGTGTACACACTTGCCACACACAAGAGTGTCAAATGGCCACTGAGCACTACTGAACTTCTGAGAATCAGGACTGAGACATGCCAGTCTCAATACACCGATTACTCAGGTCACACCAGACAGCAGGGTGATCCCAGCAGCCACAAGGGATTATGAGAGTCTGGCCGACTTTCTGAAGTTTGACCCAGACTTTCTTATGTATCCAGTTAATTAGTGCACTTGCCTAGGCAATAAGAATCATTAATTAGACAACGATCTGATGTAACAATATCACCTTTGAGAATTAATTTGGCTGAGAAGGTGTTATTGTATGTGTCCCTCCAGGAAAGAACCCATGCAGTTTAGCATGGCCAGAGGGCATGGACCACGGTACAGACAAGAATGCAGGCTTGCCCTTGGGTAACTTGCAAAGTAAGGGTGGAAAAGCGTGTCTCTCCTTCCTCCCCACATCAGGAACATTTCCTAGAGGCTGAGTCTGCGCCTTTTCAAAAGCCCTCAGTCTATTCCACACACCCACAGAAATGTACAATTTCATTTGTCATAGAGCACACAGACATAGATCTGTTCTCACTGTATTCACCTCACAGAATTATGTTCCAGTGCACAGTATTGCATAATGGCCTTTAGTCTTGCATGCTGTTTTGCAATTCCAATTCCCCTTAAAAAGATCCTGTAGTTCCACGGCATACATTCAATATCAGGTTGAGAGAGAATATACGTGTTTGCACGTGTAACCCCTCCCAAGTACATTTTTTCTTAATTTTTCTCCCAAAACTGTTGATTTTTTCTCCCTATGGAAAGTTTCAGATGCTTCCTCCCACAACTCATTCCCCCTTCTCCCCTGCTAGGCTCAGAGAAATGAAGCTCTTTCTTCCAGGAAATTTTACATCTCCTCCAGCACTGGATGAAAACACTGCTGGATGCTGGCCAAGCTCTGACAGTGTTCAAAGGCCTGGGACTTCTCACAGCTGGGGGTTAAAGAGTTGCTCACAAAGCCAGCCATCCTACTGCCTCTCACACAAATGCACCAGCAGACCCCTCTCATCCTGGCAGATGGAGTGCTTTGCACCACACTTTGAAATGAGCAGAGTGACATCCTTCAGATGAAAAGAGAGTGGGTGAATCTAAACATAATTAGAATATGTCCTAAAGTCCTTGAAGAAACATTTGCACTGGCTGTCAGCCCAGATCCCACGTGATGCACATGGCACTGGAATAGGCTGGAACATGCTGCAGCATTACAAAACAGCAGGTCTTCATTAGTGTGGAATCTTCCCTGTCTCCAGAACTGTACACATTGCACCCAAACAGTTTAAATAAAGCAGAATTACAATGATGCATAAAGGGAGTGCCACGGAGGTCATCTCGTTGGATATTAGTAATTGATACATCACCTCTCACTATCTTACTCTCAAAATTATTAAAGTTGCCTTGGATACAGACAGAATCTTGGCAACAGAAATGGGGTAAGAGACACTACTGAAATAACAATGTAAAATGAAACCAAGGAGTACCATGAAGAGTTTCTACAAAGATAGATGGGAATAATTACTACGCTTGGTTTGATTTAAAATATTCTTTGATGAAGAAGTGAGAATTAAAAGTGTGCTCATGAAAACTGCAGTGGGAGAATGATGTAAAAATCACCAGACCTAGAGAAATGCTGCAATGAGATTAACTGTAGTTTCTTACCTTTAGTCAGTGCTGGACTCCAGTGTTGCAGACAAACCGGAGGAAGAGGCAAACACCAAGAGTGAATTCAGCTGGGGAAACATGCAGAGCAGCATACCTGAGAAAAACAATTCAAACCACAAGAATTCAGTGCACAAGGACACACAGCAAACAGCAGTCTTAGAAGTGTTGTGGAAATATCGTGTTAAGACAGAAATTAGTGACACAACATAGCAGGGAAAAATAATAAAGCCCTGCTAGGCTGTATTACAAAGAGGCATTGCACCAGAAGGGGATGAGGTGCCTCCAGCTTCTCTCTCCACCCCACTGGAGAGAAAAAGTAATGTTTTGTTCTGGACATCTTGTCATAAAGGGGCCAAAAAAACCCCTTGAAACTTAGACAAGTGTCCAGAGAAGATGCTGATATCAAAAAATTTTGAACTCTAGGAACCAGGTTAAAGGATTGAAAATTGCATGGCAAGATATTTCTAGGACTGCGTTGCAGTCATGCCCAGGTCCTCTGCACATTTCAGGGAAGACAGCTCAGCTGAAAGAATGTTTCTCTAATTATTAAGGGCCTGACTGTGCAATTGCATTTTTGAAAACATCAGTGATTTCTGTGCTCTCAGCAAATGGTACCTCTCTGGTCATTTCATAGCCACACTAATCAAGAAAAATTGGTGTTAAACCTCTCACTACAGTACATGCTACATTGACAGCCACCATTACTAAATCTATCAGCTCTCTTGTGCACATTCTTTATCTATTCCACCATTTCACTCTGCATATGAGTTTGAAATGTATCAAAGAAGAAAACACAGGAAACTAGTTAGTAACAAAACAGGGGAGCAACCACTGGAAACACCCACCTCTACCTTTCTGGATGATGGGAAAATTTCAGGAAGTGGCATGGGTAGAAGTGAAACTTCTCATGCTTTCCCATAATGGATGGGAGCTGCCATATCTGACTGTAACACCACACTCAGCTATGCTGGTTTTAGCACTAGAAGCAGATGACAGTATGAGGCTGCCAAGCTCAGGATGGTTCATGAGAGACATACTTGTGCCTTCTTCACAGGTCTCTGAGCCAAAGAGAATCAACCATTCCTCTCACCCACAGGCACACATAAGCCAAAAATGCAGTTTTCCTATCATGTGCATACCTCTGAGAGTCTGAGGAGAAGACACAAAAATCATAGTCTTGAAGTATCCACCTGAAAGCACACTAAGGGCATTTGACTTCCTAGTGTACTTAAAACAGGTTCTGGGAACATTTGTGGAAAAAATCATTAAGCTACCTCACTCTCTGGAGTTTTCTCAGCAACAAATGGGGGACAATTCACTGGCCCAGAATTTTAAATGGGAAGAAAAAAACTGCAAACCTCAACAAGAATGACTTTTAAATGACTGCTCAGGCTGATGAAGCACGCCACTTGGTACAAACCCTGCAGAATGAAGTTACACGTACCTTGTCTTCTCAGGCACATACATACATTGGTGTATCTACTCCTACCTCTGTTTATCAGTCACAGACACAAATGCCCAATGCAACGTTCATACAACTGCAGTGGGAGACAGCACTTTAATGTCTTCGAGTAGCTAGCTTAAGATTATCATCTCCAGCTAACAATGGTCATTGTTTTAACAAATGATTTGTTTTTTAAGACATACAGTGTGTCACTAACTCTAGTGAAAGTGTTAGAGCCCTCCACACTGTTTTTTCTTGTAACCTTTTCACTTATCCCTAGTTTATCCTCAATGGTACATCTAGCAGCCAGTGCAGCATTTGCAAGCTCTGTGCTTTACAATCTAGGAATTCCACTTGGGTAAATGCATTCTATACAAACTTATTGCAAAATTAAGCATCATCTCTATATTAAAACCACTTGGAAAAAAAAACCAACAACAAAACCAAACAAAAAAGTCCAAAAAACCCAGAAATCAACTGGGTAGCAAAAGTACTAAGCAGAGACAGGTTGCTTACATAAACTGAAAAAAACCCCTAACCCTCTACTAGGACTTCTACCATCTAAGAAAGGAAAGAAACTCTTCCCTCATTAATACTTGAGGTGAAAAAAATTTCCAAAGTGGGACAGTGTTGAATACTTCAGATTAAATAAAACAGTGGAATGTATTAATGACTATTTTTAAACTTTAAGAACGTTTCAAAACAGAAGCTGTTCTAAAATAAGAACTTTTCTTTTGTTCAGAGTGTCAAACTGGAAAGCTTCCAAAGCCCTTCCAAACAGTCACACAAGCAATTCTGCTGGGAAGACATCCTCTATCGCACCTAACCAGTCTTCTGCTAAGGAGACTATACAGGACACCTCCTGGGGACCACAAGGGATTGTCCGTGGGGCTTCCACCCCCACACCAGCCTCCTTGGCCTGTGCCTCATCTTGAGGGGTGCTCCTCTCCATGGTACCTGAAGTCAACGCTGTGAGAAGGAAAGTGGAAGGAAACCTCTTCCTCATCCCTTAGTGCAGACAAGGGCCAGCCAGCACCTCCAGAGCCTGCAAGGGCAGATCACATGCACAGGACTCAAATGATGGTCCCAGTACCTCAGTGAGCAAGGCACCCTGGGGAGTAATTAGATCTGATGATAATATAATAGTCAATGGTTTGTCTAACGTATCTTTCCATGTCATGTTGAACCAAGGGGCTGCTCGAAAGAAGAGGAATGGCAAACACCAATTATCCATAAGCAAAACTTTACAGAGAAGCAAATATTAAAAAAATATATCTTTTTATTATATATATATATATAAAATTTGCAAATAAATAACCTTAGAAACGTTCTTTCATTCATTCTGTAGCATGATTTTTTTTCCTAAAGACTGAGTGTCCATTCTGACAGAACATGCAGACTTCAGAAAAGCAAAGAAGTAAAAATTCCCAAACTGCTATTGTTCAGTACACATGAACTGAAATACTGGTTCAAAGAAAAGATGCACACTACTTATTTGCAGGACATGAGGTTATGTAATCCAGTACTGTAACCAGACTACACCAAATAAACTGGCAATGGTGCAGATGTCAGTAATTATTGAGAAATTTGATCTGGTGAGAAGGAAGTCCTCTTTTAGTTTTAGATGCATGTGAACACTCACGTAATTTTTGGTTCAGGATGTCAAATTCTATTATAATGATTATTTTGACATGGCACTTAAAACTCCCTTTATCCAGCTAACCCAATCTCCAAAAATCACTTGAAGAACCTGTCAATTTTCTGTGGATTTCCCTTGACTACCTCTTGTACATTTAAGAACAAGTCACTCTGCATTATATAAATACTTCAAGGAACTTTTAATTCCATTCACTATTTAGCAATATAGAAATATGACTTGATGTTGATTGAGAAGCCTCTGACTGTAAGGAATGGATGCACTGAAGATGAAAGGACTTCCTCAAAAAGGATGCTTTTAAACTATAGGAGAACCATGATGTCAGCAAGCCCTTGCCCAGAACTAACTAGGAACAGTGTCATTTAACCATGACAAGTTGTCAGTGCCAAACACTGGCATAAATGAAGGCTGTCTTCCCAGGTGACTGTTCTCCTCCTAGCTTGTCATAAGGGCTGTCTCTCAGCAAATCTCAAACATTATCAAAGTAGACAAAAAGCACTGCACTTTCTGAAGGCAACAAGTAGCATCTTCTCCATACTGTATCCCTAGCTCCCTGTCACATAAACAGCCTTGACAATCTTTAAGCAGATTAAGTACACAACAGCTTCATCTCCAGAGGAAGTGAGATTAAAAGGTTTATTGCTACTATGACAACAGCTAGGTTCTGCTGTTCTTAAAATAGTTTTGAAACCTTAGCTGTGACTGGAAATGCATACATGCCTCCCCTACAGGATTCATCATGTACTAAGTACAGTCCTCCAAAAAGAAATCATTTCATAACAGTCTACTTTTTTTTTTAACCACGTATTTTTACAGTGCTCTTTAATCCCTTGTTACGAGCACTAAGAATAGAAAGCAGTAAAAAAGGCACAGTGCTGCCATGTGGCTGTGATTACAGCTTTAGAAGTGATTATTGCTGGGAGCTGGCTGCAGGCACCAGGACAGGCACTGCCCTCCAACAGTAATCACCCCACCCTGTGCACACTGGGGTCTAATCAGCCCTCTACCTGCTCCATGCTGCCATTTTTGGCCTTATAAATCTTTCCCTTGATGCTCACAGGTATTCTACAGTTTGTAAGTCTGAATTAATTCCTTCCTCATAGTAACATCCACTTCTGGAAGTAGAATTTGTCACACAGTTCATTACCAAACAGTGAGGCTTGTGCCCAGGGCATAAATCTGCCAATAACTAAATGGTAGCAGGGCATTCTTCACTTGAGTATGCTATTGTATCAGTGATTAGCATTTTATTGCTGAGGATGGTCAAATAAACCATTGATTCAATCAAATATGCAGCTGCTACATTCAGTGAATGTCCAGCTGTGCTCTGAGGCATTCTCCAAGTATGTTCATGCTGACCTGTACAACAAAACCAGCAAGAAGTACAATCCTCAATTCTGACAGCAGCACTACCCCGATCAAAGCGGGTAACCCTTATCTAACACTACTGAAATCAGAAAATTATTATGAACACAGAAGTCTATTAATTCATTACTTCAGTCAGTTTGGATTAAAAGCATACTCCAAAACAAAGAAAAATCAAATCTAATCCAATTACATTGGTACTTTACATCAATGTCTCTTGACCTTCCTGCAGCAAATCAGGATGTAAAGAGAAGAGAAAAAAATACAGGTTGTAAAACTCAGGAAGTGATTGTTTCCTTATACAAATCTGTTCTGTTAGCTCCTGCCTTGTTCTTCTCTCTATAGAGTTCACAAATTCCTGACATTTAGAGGCCCTAAATATAACTTTAATAGAGATTTCCTGGTAATTAAAAAATACTTAGCAGTAACTGCTACAGACCTAGCTGAATTCTCCATGAGAGCTGATGCTGCCAATAAAGGAAACTTATTTACCTATCCCCAAAAGAGTACATTAAAAAATGGAATTAAGTAAGAAAACAAATGGGTAATTAAATTAGCATATTAGATTGTATCTCCAAGTTGAGTATTTATCCTCAGTAAGATAAAATACTTCTATTTTATAGCTTGTCAGACCCCAACATATACCGGTGCCTGGTGTTACTCCTCCCCACAAGGATGGCTTTGTGCTTCCCTTGTTAAACTTGAAGAGATTCCTCTGCCCAGTTCTTCAGCCTATGGAGGTCCCTCTAAATGCTGCAGAGTTATCTGGTCTATCTACTGCTTCCACTTCTCATATAATCTGCAAACTTGCTGAGGGTACACTCCATATCCATTGTCCAGATCATAAATGAAGTTGAGCAGCTTGATCCCAGTATTGAACCCTGTGACAAACCACTAATGACTTGTCTCCAATTGGACTTTGTGCTGCTGATCACAACCCTCTGGGCCTGAGCACTGGGTCAATTTTCAGTCCATTTCACTATCCACTTATCTAACCCACGCTTTGCCTGCTTGTCTAGAGTGAGGTTATGGGAGATCATCAACTGCTCTCCTCTCATTCAGTAAGACACTCAGCTCATTGTAGAGGGCAACGAGGTTGGTCAAGCATGATTTTCACTTCATAAATCTATGCTAGGTACTCCCAGTCATCCTCTTGTCTTTCATTTACTTGGAAGTGCTTTCCAGGATGATTTTCCATGTCAGCTTCCCACGGAGTGAGATGAGGCTGATTGGCCCCCATTTTTTACTGCTCTTCCTGAGGATAGGACTGAAATTTGCTCTCTTCTGATCTTCAGAAAGCTCTGCCAACTGCCATGATCACTCAAAGATAATTCCAGAGTGGCCTTGCAATGATGCCAGCCAGTTCCCTTAGCACTCATGGATGCAACCTGTCAGGCTTCACACACCTAAATACATACAGTTTGTTTGCAAGCTCCCTAACCTGACCTCTTCCACCAAGGTTATTTACCTTGTCCCAGACTTTCCCACTGGTCTTAGTGCTATGGGATTCCTTAAGGCCAGTCTTACCAATAAAGACTGAGGTAAGGAAAGCAACAAGCACCTTCAGCCTTCTCCATGTCTGTTGTCACGTATTTCCCTGCCCCTTTCAGCAGGGGTGGTACCTTTATTTCCCTAGCCTTCCTTTTGCCATTATGTAATTGTAGAATCCCTTCTTCTTGCCCTTCACATCCCTTGCCAGATGCAACTCCAGAGGGGCCTTGGCTTTCCTTAACCCTATCCCTGTAAGAACGGAAAGCAACTCTATGCTCTGTTTGGGTTATCTGCCCCCATTTACACCATTTCTTCACTTTCTGTTTGGGCTTAGGAGCTCCTTGCTCATCCATGCAAGCCTCCTAACACCTTTACTTTACTTTCTACTTGTCAGGACAGGCCTTTGTTTAGGTCTTCCATGCAGATCTTTGACACAGAGACAAGGTAATTCCCCAAAGAAACACCTTTAGTAGCAGATAATAAACACAAACAAATTTGAACTTTGCAGTGAATACTTCTTCAGAACAACCAAAAAGTGCTGCTAGGGAAAAAGTTCTTTTTCAATCATATTGATAATAAATCGACACCAAAATAACAATACACAACACTCTTCATTAAGTGTTTTCTTTCTGAACTTCGTATATTTTTTTCCTGCTAATCTTCATTGTGCCAGCTGGTGTTTCAATATAATCTCATCCCATTTTTCATACTTCAATTTTCCCTTATGGGATGCTTTAGCAACAGGCTTTGACCGACTCTTTAAAGGAACACAGAAAGTAGCTTTTAGAAAAAAGTACTACAGAAATCAGTTGAAGTGCTTCTGCTGGGCAATAAAGCAGCTACTTACGTGATTTAAGAAAGGAATCTTACTCATTAAATATTGAATATCTACAGTGTTTATGCCTCCAAGTGTTTTAAGTGATGGCTTTAAAATAATGTAGTAAAGGCAAGATGAGTCAGGATCCATGCAACTTTTATTTTAATGATTAGACAAATACAGGAAAATTTGCAATAATCTATCAAAACCATATCTTATCAAGAACCGGAAAGGTGTTTAAAAAACATTCACATTCAATTCAGGTTATGTACAAACCAGTGTCTGTAAAAAAGAAAACAGCAAATACTTTGAGAGTAAAAGAATTCCATTCTAATTCCCGTTTCAACATTTCCAATGACCAAGCTACCACTGAGATGCAATCACAGTGCAGACATGTTCCACAGTCTACTAAACTTGCTTCAACAGCATTGCCAAAACTAATTTTTGAAATAAAACATTTTGATAAGTTTTGTTGTACCGTACCATCCACCCAAAAGTTACTTCTGCATATTTAATCCTTGACTGCACTAGTGGCAGAAGAGTTGTCATCTACAGGTCCAGAGTACATGTATCCGTATCTCCATAGGTACAGATATATATCTATATATCCAAGAAGCACCAGTCTCCTATGCCTGAAATAGCTTGTGTCTGCTCTGAACATTGAGAAGATCAGCCATTTTTTAGTGGAGCACAGCCCTTGATTATTTGGCTTAAAGAAGTGACCATCTACCCAGCCAGAACTATCCTGAATGTGTTGCAGTATCATGTGCTTACACCTTCAAGATGCACCTCACACAGATGGCACTGAATTTGAGTGTGACCACAGTAGCCATACATAGATATGACAGTATCATACGCTTTGCTGTAAGACCAGCTTCCGTGGGTCTCTTTTTCTTTGCCCTGGATTAAATCCCCCAATAGAAGAAAAAAAAAA